TAATTTTTAATTGCTTATATCTCAGTATTGAGATGGTCAATCTCATTCTAATTGCACAAGCGTGTCAACGACTTCTAGTACAACATATAGTTTCAATTTCAAGAAATTCTCAATATTTTGAATTTGTGAGTGTACTACCTTAATACAAAAAACAAAAAGCGAGAAATCATTAAAAGGAATATACAACACGGTCCGCAGTTGCTGGGCAGACCGCGGTGTCGATATAACAAAATTTGTGTTATACAAAAGTATAAAATTAGTTCTTTATCGCCATCGCATCTCTTGTCAGAATACTGTACAACAGCAATCTAACTCAGAAAGAAAAGCCGTCTGAGAAGTCTTGCCGATTGCGTCAAAACGCAAACAGGCAAACCAACGGACCGTCAACAAACCGTGGAACAATTGCAAAAAAAGTAATAAAGATTCAGACGAAGATTTGCCATACGAATCGAACGTATCGCTCGAGGAAACTTTGTTATGCCTTTTCCAGGCCCGTGCTCTTCCTGGCGACGATGAGACTCATGTTATACCGAATATCAAAATTCGCAAAGGGCTACACTCGGTATCCAATAAGTCGAGTAGCGTCGCTTTGATGACCGACGAGGAAAACGAAATGTTTTGCACAACCAATTAAAGGTAATTGGAGTAGGTGATCTATTATATTAGTAACATTGAATAATGTGTCAGCATTCAAACTTCCATCTTTGGTTGCTTCGATTATCCCTTGTTCCAGAAGTGACAGTAAGACGACTAATGTAACTGATGGGTGTTTCAGACTCCCTTTGGTTTTAAGCAATATCAGTTGATGACTTTCTGATATCACATCATTTGTTCTTAATACCAACGTTTTCAAACAATCATCACACACGATAGTTTGCTTATTTTCCGTAAATTTTGTGAATCGTGGTCCTTTTCTCGCAACATATCTACCAACGTAACTTAAGGGGAGATATACACCTAGGAGCCGGAAAAAAAGGTCATTTTTGTAAATTTTTTTAAGGAAAACTATTTGAAATTTCAGATTGGGAGTTTTTCTATCTAAAAGTATACACATT